ATGGGTCCCAACCCTTCATTTACCAGACAGGTGGGTCCCTGCTGTATGACACGAGTGGTCGACATCAACTTCTTGAGATCCACGTCACCCACTTCAACCTTTTTAAAAAAAATTTTAATTTAATCAGAATTTTTTATAACTTTTTAATATAATTTTATATATTGATTATTTTTTTAATGTATTTAAAATTTTAGATAAAAGAAGATAAAGAAAAGGCAAAACAATAGGTTAAGCCCCTGAACTAACCCCAGGATAGCTACTAAGCCCTTAGACTTTAATTGATGCAGTTAAACCCTTGAACTCTGAGATTAAAGCAATTAAGCCCTTTTTCTTAAGCAATTTATTTTAAAAATTAAAGTCTAGGAGCTTAATAACGTAAGAAGAAGGGCTTAATTGCTTTAATCCCAGAGTTCAAGGCTTAACTGCATCAATTAAAGTCTAGGGGCTTAATAGCGATTCTGGGGTTAGTTCAGGGGCTTAACTTATGGTTTTGCCTAAAGAAAAATCATTTTCTTTTGAAATTTACTTTTTTTGCTTTTTTTTTTTAATTATTATGGAACTTCTTTCCGCCTTTTCCTTTTCTTTTACTTTTCTTTTTTTAAGAGTAATTTTTTTCTTTAATTTTTTTTTCTAATTTTTTTAACTTACTGCAAAAAGAATTATAATACAAATTGCAATTGATTCACAAAAATATTTTATTATAATGATATTAAAATAATTACATGATACAAAGTAAATTGATGCATATTAATTCTAAAAAAATTTATCTTGCAAAAAGAAAAGAAGTCATCAATTACTCCTTTCATATATTTTTAAAAGATTTATTTTAATTTTTAAATTTTTTAGATATAAATTATGAATAAAAATTTAATAATTTATATTAACAATAATTAAAAATATGTTTTTCTTATATAAAATTATTGTTGAATGTTTTAATTTAATTAAAAATATTTTAACTTATTATTTATACAATATATTAAATTTTTATTTAAAATTTATATCTTAAAAATTAAAAATTAAAAAGTCAAATTAATTTTACTGAAAAAAGAATATAAAATCTTATTTTCAAAAAAATTTAATAGTAGTTAAATTTTATATTGTAGTGATTTTTAATAATAAATTTAATTTGAGAGATATAAATAAATAAAAAAAGAGACCCGAGAGAAGAGAATGAAAGAATTTTTTAAGAAATTAAATAATTTAATTAATTAAAAACTTTATCCTTTTTTATTTTTTTATTTATTTAAATTAAATATAGGATAAAAAATATCTATTAATTTACCAAAAATTCATCAAAATTCTTAATATCCAGAAAAAACCAAAGCAAAATAAAACAAAAACAGAAGACAACAACTATTTCTAGATGACTAGCGTTAAAAATTGCCTCTTTAACCACGTCACCGTTTTTTCGGTGAAAAGAATAATAAAATGGACACCACGTCACTGTTTGACGTGACGCCAATTGCAAAAGTTTTACGGCGACATGACGGAAGCCGTCATTTTTACGTTCCGTAACGCTACCTCCCGCCCAATTTCATCCCGTTTATCCTCCGAACATGACAAATTATCGCGTCTCCAAACATAAAAATGGATTTTCTTTGATTTTTTAAAATAGTTACTTTAATTTGTGCCCCCATAAATATATTCTTATGCCATTGAAAAAAAGGGGAAAGGTGTGTGTGTGAGTGTGAGTTGGGCATTTTAACAATTGTTATGTAAAGGAGAGGGAATATTTAACAATTAAAATTTTATATTATTTTTTTGTGTTAGAATAAATTAAAATTTTTAAAATAATTTTTATATTTATTTATTTTATCTTTAAAAAATACTTTATTCATAATTTATTAAATTTTTATTTGAAATTTATATTTAAAAAGTAAAAAAATTAAATTAAATTTATTAAAAATAATCAAAAAGAGTAATTAAAAATAAAATTATTTTAATTAGAGAATGGATAATTAAAATTGAGTAATAATTATAAGATTAAAATAAACAAATATTTATTATCATGAAACAAAAGGAGTATTGATCAATAAAACTTTTAAATTACTTCACGTAATTTTGAATAAAAATTCAAAATAGAATATGGTTTTATAAAACACACAAAAGCCTACTAATTGTAGAAGAAATTAAAACAAAAATAAAAGTGAAGTGAAGGAAAAAAAATTTTAAATGACATTGAATTATTATTAAATAACACAAAACAGTTACATAATATCTAACATAATCATCTCATTAAAAAATCCTAAATCCTCATAATGACATAATTCTTTAAATTTCTCAATATCTTCAACACTAATAATCAAAAAAAGAAAGACTCGTATAAAAATTAAGTAAAATTAAATTGTCTTTTTATAAATTGTAAAATTAAAATTTTTTTTTATAAATTGTAAAATTTTAATTATCGTCAAAGTAGAAACAGCAGTTTCAGTGGGGCCATAAAGATCTGTAGTTGACTGAAAAATAATAAAAGAGAAGGGAATATGGGACCCTCTAAAAAAGTTGTCGATTTCCTGCTGTTTATGGCAGCAGAGGATCATGTCCCTCGATTTTTGGCGTGAGACGTTGGCTTTACACTTCTCTCTTTTCCTACGGTTCGAAAATGTACGGTACCCTACCGCGCCTAACTGCAGTCACGCCGTTGACCGTTTTGCATTCCCAGGGTTAGGAAGGTTCCCCGTTTCCCTTTTCTTTTTTTTTTTCTTTGAGTAAAACTCAAATTTTACACCATTAAACTTAGTATGAAAAGATTAACTATCTATTAATATCAGTAGAAAAAATTTGATTTTTTTTAAATAAAATTTTAAATTTAAATTTTATAAATAAAAAATAAATTCTGAAAGAATTTTTTTTATAAAATTTAATATGATTCAATTTTAAATTAATTAAATTTAATATGATTATCATATATTAAAAAGTTAATAAAAAAAAACTTAGTGTGAAAAGTTCCTAATAAAAGATAGATGGACACTAAACCACCAGACTTTTTCAGGAAGGATCCCCATTTCAACTAAGTATTTAAGGTGAAACAATATATTTGGTATTCAATATGATGGGATAGTTGGTGTCCTTCTTAAACTGTTATTTTTCTTTTTTATAGGACTTAAATTGCTATTAGAATCAGGATTTAAAAAATAAA